TATATATATATATATATATATATATATATATATATATATATATATATGCAGGTTTTAATTTTTATATTTAAATGTTTTAAATTATTAGAATATAGTTCAAGTCTAAAACTCACTCTCAGCCTTACTAATTATATTCATTTTTGTTCATACTCTTGTTTGGGTTCTATTAACTTATCTCATTGTTAAAATACTCCTTGAGCTGAAGAAAATACTTGAGAAATTTGCTTAGAAAATAAATTACAAGCTTTAGAGATATAAACCAAATGTGGAAAATCGATGACATATAATACTAATATAAAAATTCAACCAAAATAATAGAACAAATAATGGAAGAATATATCACACAGCTGATAAGAGATTTAATTTGCCATATTCAGTGTCTACAGTATGCCATTCTCAATAACTGAAAAAAAATTCCATATAGGAAATTTATAATAACATTTTATGAGATTGAAATGAAAGTAAAGTAAAAACGGTTCCACTGCTTAAAACAAATAACTGAATAAAGTAAAGTATTGAAATGGATATGAAACAAAGTACTTCCCTCAGTGTTAGCTGCTAGAAAGGTATAGAGTATAGTAGGAAAGGTAATTAGGGGCTTATCTAATGGTTTCAAATTTTCTGAGAAAAATGCTTTCAGTCTCTTATTGTGTAAATGGAAAGTCATGAATATACATTCATCATTTATTTAAAAAGAAATAAAAAGTAATGGCATTGTAAAAGTTAGTCAGTATCTGAAAACTGAATGTCATAACTGATAATCAATGATGGATCACTCACTAGGGCAAGAAGTATAAGGAGGTCATATTTTTCTCTCCAAATACTATAAAGAATTAATATTGTTGACATCTCTATTTGTTTTCCGCAGCCATTTATTTTTTATGATTTTTATTTTATATATTAATAAAATATATTATTTTATTAATTATTTACTTTGTATCATATCTATAGCCCCCTCCATCATTCTCTCCCAATCCCAACCTATCTCCATCATCTCCTCCCTGCCCCTCTCTAAGTCCACTGATAGGGGAGGTCCTCCTGCAATCCATCTGACCTATTTTATCAGGTCTTATCAGGACTGGCTACAATGTCCTCCTCTGTGGCCTAGCAAGGTTGCTCCTTACTCGAGGGAGTTGGGGAGGTCAAGTAGCCTGCCACTGAGTTAATGTCAAAGACAGTCCCAGTTTCTCTTACTAGGAAAACCCACTTGGATGCTGAGCTGCCATGGGCTACTTCTAAGCAGGGGTTCTATGTCATATCCATACATGGTGCTTGGTTGGAGAATCAGTCTAAGTAAAGACCCATGTGCCCAGATATATTTGATTCTTCTGGCTCTCCTGTCCTCTCCAGGTCTTACTAACTCCCCCTTCTTTCATGTGATTCCCTACACTCTGCCCAAGGTTTGGTTATGAGTCTCAACATGTGCTTTGATACACTGCTAGGTAGAGTCTTTCAGAGGCCCTCTATGGTAGGCTCCTGTCCTGTTTCTTGTTTTCTCCAACTTCTAATGTCCATTCCGTTTGTCTTTATAAGTAAGGATTGGTCATCCTACCCTGGAACTTCTTCTTGTTTAGCTTCGTTGGATGTTCAAATTTTAGTATGCCTATCCTATCTTATAGGTCTAGTATCCAGTTATAAGTGAGTGTATACCATGTGTGTCTTTATGCTTCTGTGATAACCTCACTCAGGATGATCTTTTCTAGGTTCTCACCATTTGCCTGAAAATTTCATAATTTCCTTGTTTTTAATTGCTGAGTAGTAATCCTTTGTGAAAATGTACCACACTTTCTGTATCCATTCCTCTGTTGAGGGATATCTGGATTGTTTCCAGGTTCTGACTATTAGGAATAAAGCTACTACAAACATGGTTGAATAAAAGTCCTTTTTGTGTACTTGAGCATATTTTGGATCTATGCCTAAGGGTGGTATAGCTGGATCTTGAAGTAGCACTATTCCTATTTGTCTGAGAAAGTGCAAGATTGATTTCCAAAGTGGGTGTACAAGTTTACATTCCCACCAGCAATAGAGGAGGGTTCCCTTTTCTCCACAACCTCTCCAGTATGTTTTGTCACTTGGGATTTTGATCTTAGTCATTCTGATGGGTGTAAGGTGAAATCTCAAGGTCATTTTGATTTGCATCTCCGTGATGGCTAAGGATGCTGAGCAGTTCTTTAAGTGTTTCTCTGCCATTTGATGTTCTATCGAGAATTCTCTGTTTAGCTCTGTACCCCGTTTTTTAATTGGATTACTTTATTTGTTGCTGTTTAATTTCTTTAGTTCTTTATATATACTGGATATTAGCCCTCTGTCAGATATAGGGTTGGTGAAGATCCTTTCCCAATCTGTAGGAAGTCGTTGTGTTCTGACAACAGTGTCATTTGCTTTACAGGAGCTTTTCAGTTTCATGAAGTCCCATTTATTGATTGTTGCTCCTAGAACCTGTGCTGTTGGTGTTCACTTCAGGAAGTTGTCTCCTGTGCCAATGAGTTCAAGGCTCTTCCACACTTTTTCTTCTAACAGGTTTAGAGTGTCTGGTTTTATATTGAGGCTTTTTTTTCTGCATGTAGACATCCAGTCAGAACAGCACCATTTGTTGAAGATGTTATAATTTTTCCATTATATGATTTTGGCAACTTTGTCCAAAACCATAAGTGAGTGCATTTATTTCTGGGTCTTCTATCCAATTTCATTGATCCACCATTCTGTTTCTATGCCAGTATCATGCAGTTTTTATTACTGTTGTTCTATAGTACAGCTTCAGATTGGGAATGGAGATACTACCAGAAGATCTTCTACTGTAGAGGATTGTTTTAGCAATTCTGGGTTTCTTGATATTCCAGAGGAAGTTGAGAATTTTTCTTTCAAGGTCTGTAAAGAATTGTGTTGGTAATTTGATGGGAATTGCATTGAATCTGTATATTTCTTTTGGTAAGATGGCCATTTTCACTATGTTAATCCTGCCAAACCATGAGCATGGGAGATCTTCCTACCTTCTGATATCTTCTTCTAATTTTTTCTTTAGAGACTTGAAATTATTTTTAAATAAGTTTTTGACTTTCTTGGTTAGGGTCACACCAAGGTACTTTATATCCTTTGTGGCTATTGCGAATGGCGTTGTTTCCCTAGTTTCATTCTCAGCCCGTTTGCCTTTTTCATTGATTATTTTTGCTTCAATGTTCATAAGAGTGATAGGTCTGAAGTTCTCTTTTTTGATTGGGTCTTTGTGTGATTTAGGTATGAAGGTGACTTTGGCTTCATAGAATGAGTTTGGTAATCTTTCTTCTATCTCTATTTTGTGAAATAGTTTGAAGAGAATTGGAGTTAACTCTTATCTGAAGGTCTGGTAAAATTCTGTGCTAAAATCATCAGGCCCTGAGCTTTTTTGGAAAGGAGACTTTTGATGACTGCTTCTATTTCTTTGGAGGATAGAGCACTATTCAATCTTTTTACCTTATTTAATTTTGGTATGCAGAATCTATCAAGAAAATTTTCCATTTCGTTTTGATTTTAAATTTTGTGGCATATAGGCTTTTGTAGAAAGATCTATGATTGTTTGGATTTCCTCAGTGTCTGTTAGTATGTCCCCCTTTACATTTGTGATTTTGCTGATTTGGACATCTTTTTTTCTCTGCCTTTTAGTTAGATTGGTTAAGGGGTTATCTATCTTGTTGATTTTCTCAAAGAACCAGCTCTAGGTTCCTTTGATTATTTGAATTTTGTTCTTTGTTTCGAATTTATTGATTTCTGCCCTGAGCGTGAATATTTCCAGCCATCTACTCCTCTTGGGTGTGTCTGATTCTTTTTTTCCTAGTTCTTTCAGGTGAGCTGTTAAGTTTATTTGTATTAGATGTTTCAAATTTCTTCTTGAAGTTTTTTAGTGCTATAAACTTTCTTCTTAGCACTGCTTTCATTGTGTCCCATAACTTTGGGTATGTTGTACCTTCATTTTATTTTAATTCTAGGAAGTTTTTCCACTTCTTTCTTTAATTCTTCCCTAACCCAGTTGTCATTGAGTAGCAAGTTGTTCAGTTTCCATGTGTGTGTAGGCCTTTTGCTATTTCTGTTATTGTTGAGGTCCAGCTTTAGAGCATTTTGGTCAGATAGGATACAAAGGCTTATTTCAATCTTCTTGTATCTGTTGAGGCTTGCTTTGTGACCAACTATATGGTCTATTTTGGAGAAGGTTCCATGAGTTGCTGAAAAGAAGGTTTACTCTTTTTAATTTGAGTGAAAATTTCTATAGCCATCTATTAGGTCCATTTGATTTAGGGAATCTGTAAGTGCCCAAATTTCCCTGTTTAGCTTCTGTCTGGATGATCTGTCCTTTGGTAAGAGTGGAGTGTTGAAGCCTTCCACTATTAAGGTGTCGGGATCAATGTGTGATTTAAGCTTTAATAATGTTTCAATTACAAATGTAGGTGGTCTTGTATTTGGGGCATAGATGTTTAAAATTGTGATGTCCTCCTGGTAGAATTTTCCTTTAATGAGAATGAAGTGTCCCTCCTCATTTTTTTTAATTAATTTTGGTCGATAGATTATTTTATTAGATAT